CACCGCAGGACACCGCAGGACACCGCAGGACACCGCAGGACACCGCAGGACACCGCAGGACACCGCAGGACACCGCAGGACACCGGGGTCTCCCAGGGTAGAGGTGGAACCCAAAAGGGGGTGAATCCTTCAAGCGAGATAAGTCAAGAAGCGTGGAACGGCTTGGAATGGGAATCTGAGGTTGGAATGGATGAGAGGATGTCCCGTCGACTGTCCAACAAGAAATCTTCACCTTCAAAAATGTCTTCCTTATCTTCCTTGGACAGTTGAATATGGGAAGGAATAAGCAATAAATGTCTTCATTTTGCCTTCAACTGTTTTCCTTATCTACCTTATCAGGAAGGCAAACATGTTCTTATCTTTCTTTGACAACAACACTGATCTTCCACCACCAACCACCCATCCGTTCCGCGCAGATTCCAACACTTGCAGTGTCGCGTTCGCGAGTCTTTCGCGGGTCTTGCGCGTGTCGTGCTCGCGTGTCTCTCGCCTGAGGCCGTTCAAGACCAAGGTCTGGTGTGTCTCAGCCAAGCCGATCTCCCAAGGCAAACCTCGGGCCGTTCCGTCGCGGTCGTCATGTCGAGAAGCCGTCGAACAGCGCGACGGTCATGGATGTTAGACGCGTGCGCGCTTGGGGGATGTAAGAGATGTTAGACGTCGGTGAAATCTTGACCGAAGACCATGTGAGGTACCTCGAAAAACACAAATATATTTGTGTATATAATATATAATATATATATATAGAGAGAGAGAGAGATTGATTATAATAGAGAGAGGGAGAGAGAGTGAGTATCTATTGCTTTTGCTGGTCTTGCTTGGAGGACCCTCCAGCTTCAAGTCAGGTCCTTTGTTACCCGACCCTCCTTCCACCTGGACCGCCTGGACCGCCTGCTCCGGTTCTGAACGTTGAAGCCAAAACGGTTGGTCCACTCGGAAGGGTCCCCCGAGTGAAAGCCTCTGAGCAGGATGATGTCCAGGTCCTTCACCGCAAGAGAACGTCAGCCCGGATCAGCCCTCCCCCATCGTTCACTCCAAGTCATTTTTTCAGCGATCTCAGCCGACGTCGGCACGAAAATGACTTGCAACCACCAAGATCTTTCGTAAGATGTCTGACCACCAGATAGTCCGAGTATCATATGGTTGACCATATGGATATGTTTCGCAGTTAGGTGTCTGTCATGGTGCTGTGACCAGACAATATACCAAATCACGTGTTCACCATTGACTGGCCCAGGGTCAAGGCCAGGTCGGGAAGAATTCTGCTGGATGTCCATCATCCTGCCGTTCGACTAGAGTCTAGAGGTCCTATACCTCACAACCGTAGGCCCATTTTTCCGAGAGTCCATGTACTGAAGCACCTGCAGGCCCCACGAAAATCAACAAAACGCTCTCCCGGCAGTCACATGTCGGGGTGCGATCCATGGAGGTAGTCGGGGTGCCCATTCTCCACTCACTTGGGGACTAAACACCACCCCATCTTGTGACTCCTGCTCTTTGAATGGATCCCAAAGAGAAAACAACGATCCCAACTCCGGGTGGCCGCAGTGCTTGATGGAGCCCCACTTGGCCGCGCCGGTGCCGCCAGACATGCCGCTGATGGTGAGGTGATCCGCCTTGCCTTTCACCACACCTGCACGCGCAGAGCCGCGCGCGAAGCGGCTCCGCGCGCAAAGCCGAGCACGAAGCACCCACGAAGAGCCGCCCCACGAGAAGAAGCACGTTCAGAGAGGAATGGGATTTTCTGGATCCCTTCCTTTGCCAGGAGTCACAAGACGGGGTGGTGTTTGATCCCCAAGTGAGTGGAGTAGCTGGGCACTCCGACTACCTCCATTAAGCTCGCACCCCGACTTGTGACTGCTGGTGCATAGGTTGGAAGGTGAAGCGATGCCATGCACCGAAGTACCGAATGAGCACCAGAAAGCACCAAGAGCGGTGCAGCAAAGTCCGTCCCATGGATCGTCAGATGTCGTCCCGAAAACAAACCGCCGATGGTCCGGGTTTTGAGATCTTTCGAGATCTTTTGAAGATGTCCGGGAGTATGAGATGCTTTGAGGAGTCATGTTGAATTCATCTCTATCGGTTAGTTATATCATCCAAGCACTCTACACGGTGCTCCTCCTCGAGAACGATCTGCTGCGCACGCCACTTCCGCCCGAAAAAGCGCCCGGCCAGCGCCCGGCCTGAGGCGATGACCCCAATGCCGATACGTGCGACCAGCTTCACCGAGATCCGCGCGGAGGGGTTGGCGTTCTTGAGGTCCTGTGGGACTGTGGATGGAGTGCGGCGAGTGGAGGAAGACGAGGCCCTGGCGGGGTCCTGTGGTGTGGGGATGTTGATCTGGAGGAAGATGTGGAGGGTTGGCAGGTTCTGCTGAGTCAAAGGTGTGGGCATTCCACAGAACTGTTGAAAAACCGCCGTGGGGATGGAGTCTGGACTCAGGTAGGAGCCGAACTTGGCAATGGCTTGGCTCTTGGGAGCTGATGAACTTGTCGCCACAAGAAGAAGCAACTGTTCCAAAATCCAGGCAAAAGTGTTCCTTTCTTCAAGTGCTGAAGGTGTCGACTCCATTTACTGGATCTTCTGATCTTCTGGAGTGTGGGCCCATTAACCCCATGAAACACCAAAAAAAAGGGCCCGCACAAACGAACGGATGAAGGAATGTTCATCCCCCAGCCTTGATCAGCTGCGCCACGTCCTGGCCACGTGTGTCCGGATGGGAGAGTGACCTTCTTGACCTTCTTGTTGGGGGGGGTCTATGTTCATGGGGTAGATCTAGGCAACTACATGTGAAACGCAGGACCTTCCACCCTTCGTTTGGTGGATGGGCCCCTCTGTCGGCACCTCGGCGATTTCGGCAGTCCCCGGTGTCGGTCCTGGTACGTAACTGACCTGTCCAGTCTGGTCCTGATCACCTCATGTGTTTTGGGTGGTGTTTTTGTACCTGGAGCCTTTTTGTGACCCCTGGAGCTTGGAGGATCAACTATCCAAAATATGGTCAAGCTTCCTATCAAAACAGAGGTCAGTCAGGCTCTAGGTAACTTACTGTATATGATCAACTCCAGAAGTGCATTGCTCAGCTACCTGCTGGTGGCCAGTGGCGAGTCCTGTTTTCTGAAACTTGGGAAGTGGAAGTCGAGAAATCAGCTTCGCAAAAAGGCAACAAGCTCCTAAGAACCAGACCAGTCACAGTCTCCGTCTGCGAATCAACTACTGCAAAGCATCCTCCCCAAACTCCCCAAACCCCCCCCCCCAACCTCAAAACCCCAACCATCAACCACCCATTCTGTCCTGCTCGCACGAAATCATCCAATAAAACGATCAAAAGGTCCATAAAGGTCCATCCAGTTCCTCTCCACCCCCAGTCAGGCGCCCAAAACGAAACAACGAAAACAACAAGACTCTGCCCATCCCATCCGGTTCCTCGATGGAGTACATGTCGTGATGCGGCGGTGGGCTGATCAAGCCCACGCCCGGGGTCGCCTTCCGCGTCTCGGCGATCTTCCCAATCACCTGCGAGGCGCGCAGACCGCATGTCCGTGCCCAGGGCGAGCAGACCCCGGTCGGACCGCCGGCGGAACGACCACCGGAACGTGAGAAGAATAGTGCACTCAGGATGAGCAGTCAACTTTTGATTTGTAAGACTTGTAAGCTTCTTTCTGAACTGCACAGTGAATCTACATAGTCAATGTGGAAGGTGGTTCAAGAGCTTGGCGCAATTCGAGCGCCTGCTGCGTTTTGTTGGTGTTCCTTTTGTTTTCTCTAGAAGATGCGCAGAGTGAACGTGAATTCATTCTTTTGGACTGTCGCAGCCTTTTTGTTTGCATACATGAATGATGCGAAAGGCATACCGGAAGGCTCACAGAGGAGCGTGGCAATGAAGATCTCTCTCTCTCTCTCCCGTTTTTATTGTTTTAGATCAATTGAAGAGCTGAGACCACCGGACATGATCTGAGAAAGCGAAGTGCATCAGAATCTGTTTTGACACGAGATCGGAAGACTGTCCTTTTTGTTATTTAACTGATTGATCCCTGTGGTGAAGCTGCGTTTGACGCCGGCTTGAACTTTGCGTGTGTTTGTTTTTTTCCTGTTTGAGATCAAGAGAAGTGAGATCCGAGTGGCTTGAAATCCATTCAAGCACCATTCATTTGTCAAGATGACCGCACAAATCAATTTGGGCCAACTTGGCTCAAGTGCCAATACCTCGAGCTGACCGCGTGAAAAGAAAGCCAGCTTGTGCATGCAAGAGAGGAAACTTTGAACTGGCCTGTTGGCTCTTTACAGAACGCGGTCTTCAACGACGCAAGGGGACCCGTTTGGAGCGCTCCAAAAGCCGTGTGGAGGCGGCCAAAAGAGGCCACAAAGGCCCACCAGGTGTTGGAGGCACTTTTGGAGATTGATCTGTGACAAGCCCCAACCCACAGCAAGACTCCTCCTTAAGATGAGGCCAAAATTCATGGCCTGCAGAGCGAAATGTCTGTCTTCCCCCTGAATCATCGTCCAATGAAGGACCATAAAGTAGTGTATCATAAGGTCGTCTAGCAGGACCCTCCAAGAGGTGTCTATAAATAGCCTCTTAGAGGTTAGGAGGCGTCCAAAAACCACCTGTTGGAAGGTCCTGGTAGGCGATTCGGATCCCGAGCTGCACCGGTAGCTCTCCACCCCCACCCAGCAGCGCCTTGTGCCCAGGTAGCTCTCCGCCCTCACCGGGCTTGGCACCCTGGGCGAGCCTCAGCAGATGGGGAGGGTCATTTGGTGAGTGGCCACCTGAAAAGCGATGAAGTGATGAGTACCAAGGACTCTATGGGTCACCTATTCACCAATGATTCGACCTGGGAATGGGCCCAACCACTGGAGAAAAAAACCTCAAGGGTCTAAGACCTGGCAGTGGCTCGGGTACTGGAAATGTCATATACCAAAAATCAGCAGGAACGGGATCCTCCAAGACCGGCGCTGTCCGCCCAACGTCCTGTTCATCCGAAGGGACCGAGGAAATGGTAGGAAGAACCGGCCAAACGCGGTCGTGGTGGTCGACCCAGACCTGGGTCTTTTCTCTTCAGAGGCCCATTTCCTTACCACCGATGGTCTTAAGTCTTGGAATCGGTGAAGGAAGCCCAAAACTGGAGGGGAGAAAGAGTCGGGGGTTGCATGAAATCCGATTTCTGTCACTGTGCTTTTCGTCCACAAAGCCTGCATGGTTCTTTGGGCCTCCCTTCGATGGTTCGTTGCCTGAAATCCGAGTGCTCGTCTTCTTGCCTTCATGAACCAGCAGGGGACACTGTCCAGATCTGTACAGCACCCTCTACAGGGTGCTGAAATGGAGACTTACCCTCCCTCCAACAATCATAGAAGTGGAAAGAGGCCTGTTACTAGATGAAAGCAGTCTTCCAAGGGGCCATGTTCCACTTCCATGTTAGCTGGATGGAGACTTAAAAGATCTTTAAAGTGGTGGCAGAGTCAGGTGCCGCTGCCACCGAGCCACCTCGTCGTTGGAGCAAGTCAGTCTATCGAGAGAAGAGATGCTCACTCCAACCTATCTTCTGGGATTGGCATTGGAATAGCGTCCCAATCTATCCAGCGGGACTATGGTGAACCATGGAATATGCCAGTACAGAGGTGTGTGTCTTCCCAAAAGAACCTGCTCCACTCTTCGGTCCAGTCCAGTATTCACAGAACCAGCACCTGAACCCACAGCGCCCCAGCCCTGAACCCCGCAGAAGGCACTTGATCTGGAGCTCGTCCGCGTTCGCCAGGTACTCCGCCGTGACGCCGAAGCGGCCGGAGGCCACCTGCGACGGCGGTTGAGAAACACACCACGGACGGGTGTGGATTCGAAGATCCGGAGCTGGAGCTGGTGTGCAAAGCCCACCTATATAAGCCTCAACGAAGCCAAGACAAGCCAACTCTCAAATGCTTCAACTCAGATTCCACAAGCACCGCAAAAGCCGGACCTCCCACATCCCAGCTCCCTCCGACCTCAGTCCACCTCCTCTCGCATGATCCATCCCCAAACTCCTCCTCCTCCCAGCTCCTCACACCTGCTCCGACCGCCTCCTTCCACACAAGGACCACACCCCGCCTGCTTGATCTTCGACCGGAAGGTGTCGCCTCCCTTGATGTCCCACTGCACGGCCCCAGCATTGAACTGCCCAGCCTCCAACTGCGTGAAGCGCATGGGGTCCTGCACACGTGCGCGGCGCGCGGCGCGCGGGCACGCGCAAGAGGTCGTGGATGTTTGGAGTATTTGTGGTCCTTGGAAGGAGTGGACGACAGTATGGAACAGTAGAAACCATGACCAACAGAGGTGCCAATGCATGAAACTTGGGGGGGGTTCTTCCTGGCTTCCACTTCAAGTGTTGCATCTTGGACGACCAACTTCATTCCCCTTCTTTCGGCCCTGTAGTTTTGCCCGCGCAAGATTTGAAAAGCAAAAAGAAAATGTGCACAGACCAACTGGAACATGCATGAGAACTGAGGTCCCCCCCCAGCACGTTGAGAATGCTTACCTGATGGTGCCAAATGATTCTAGAAGTAGGAGGAAGGAGAAGGAGGAGGAGGAGGAGAAGAAGAAGAAGAAGAATACGAAGAAAAAGAAGACGAAGAAGAAGAAGAAGAAGAAGACGAGGAAGAGAAATACCAATCATGATTATTCAAACACTCAAAGAAGATAAATACCATTTTAAAAAAGTAACATACTGAATGATTTTACCATGTTCCCTTGTAAACGTCCACCCCCGCCTCGCCACCCTCGCCAGTGTTGCTCTTTCCTCCAATGCGGTTCCTCAGAGGGGCAAATAGCCACCAAGGACCCTTAAAGCTGTTGGAATCAGTTCATGGTGGGGAACTGAATCAGAAAGATCCATAAAGTTGACCAAAGTGGATTCAATTTAAATACTAGACATCGCACAACAGAAAGAGATGCATCACCAGCATCATCAGCTGCGTCAATTACAAGATATCCGGGCTGCTATCCATGGAGCCTTCGTGAGAGAACATTGGCCTCCTGGCTCTCAAGAAATATACTGTAATACCTCCTGAAATCCCCCTACAACATCTACACTCCCGAAAACTAACATAGACCCTGACGTCCTGGCAGCCTGGAAGAGTGTTTTCCTCTACCAACCAGTGGTTTTCAGGGCCCATGGGATCGTCTTGTAGGGTGTACTCCCCCATTCCTTGAAAAAATATCAAATCTCAAAGTGTTGTACCCCCCCCTAGGGCTCCTGTCCCATCTCCTCAGGTGGACCGGTGGTATTCGACCCCCCAAGACCTCCCACCCCTGGCCCATCTTCAAGAGCTCGTTGGAGCCCTAGGGCCCCTAGGGCCATCAATTCCGCGCCCTTCGGAACTTTGGCCTCCAACCTCTCGTGCAACCCCGGTCTCCTCATCCCACCACCCTCCCCCATCGCCACCGACCCCCGACCACGAGGTACTCCGACCTCCAAGCGGCATGGCGATGGCCATGGCGCGGTGCGCCTCGTCGCTGATGGAGCCGAAGGAGGCGGCGCCGGTGCAGAAGCGCTTCACGATCTCCACCGCGGGCTCCACCTGAGGTCGTGGCCCGCGGGCTCCGACGAAGCGGCAGAGAGAGGCGATCAGGAGCCTCCCGAGGTCGGAAGGTGGATCAGGAGGTCGGACGGGAGAAGGGAGAAGGGAAGGGAGTGTGGTAGTGGTTTTGTGAGGTCAATCAAGATGTGGTAGTAGTGCATTTATTTTTGGGGAGCTAGGGAGGTAGGCATTCATATAGGTGAACGGTAGCTTTTGCTATGAACAGGGAACGGCTCCATGTTGACTGCAACTGGAATGGAGCTGGCATATGTTGGAAAAAAACCTTGGACCGGCTATATGTGACTGAAGAACTGATGATGAGTCTATCCTCCATCTCGAAAGCAAGTACACCCTGCAAGACGATCCCATGGACCCTGAAAACCACTGGTTGGTAGGGGAAAACACTCTTCCAGGGGGGCCAGGACGTCAGGGTCTATGTTAGTTTTCGGGAGTGTATGATTTGGGTCTATCGGAGTCTACCTGTAACAGTGGATGATGATGGTTCAGTTGCAGGCCTTGTTGACTGACTGTTACAGGTATATTTCGGACAGACCCTAAGTATCGATCATATCCAAGTTTGGTGCAAACTCACAATGCTCCACACTACTAGCGCTGCTAGTACTACCCAAATGGTTAACTTCAAGCTCCAGCCAGACATCACAACCTGCTTTGGCTTCGTCGGCGGTCTTCACTGTTCCTCCTCAACATCTCTTCGGCGCGCATCCCCGGACGCGATGCAGCAAGACGACACTTGAAGACGAAGACCCAGCAAGAACGCCCCCGCACCAAATCGAAACCCTCCAGGGGGTGTATCACCAAATCTCATGCGGGGCCAAAAGGGCCTGTCTCCCTCATGAGGCTCATGAAACTCCCCCAGCCAGAGCCGGCCTCGTTGAGGGGCACCGGACTGCACTCCTCATCGCGGAACTCCAACTGCCCGCGAATCTCCGTCTGCTCCGTAATCCTCCGGAGGCCGTGGGTGGCAGTTGTTCACGGTTTGGCATGGTGAACGACTGATGGAAGGATGCCAAAAGCACGATGCTTTTAACTTTTTGCGGTGTTTTCGGTGTTGCAGTTTGGCAGGTGCCACTGTCTCTTTTCCAAGTTAAAAGGCTGCAAATGTCCATCGCGCCAGCGCTACAAGCACGCCAGGGCACTTGTTCTGCCATGTGGAGAACATCTTGTAGGCATCCGCTGAGTTGGTCTTTGCAGCCTCTTGCCTCGCATGTTCCAAACATAAAGAACAGCATGGCAGAAAGCTGCGACATGCTTCGACCTGCTTTCCCGACAGCTGAGGCAAGGTTTGTCTGTGAAATTGCAGGAGGTTCTTGCGGGGTGCTCTCAGGTGTGGATGTCTCAAAAAAGTTCGTTGATGTCCTCAGTGAATTTGTCTTAGACTGCCACCAACTGTCTGTATTTATGGGGGAACTCCGGGAATCAACGGGTGTCCCCCACTATGCAAGATGCTGCATCCTCCCCGCGAAAGAACCAAAACCACCCCGCAACTTCTGAAACAAGACTTCTGCTCCCATTCCTCCCAACACCTTTTGGTTCCTGCAAGCCGCATCTTATAGATCACATCAGGAGTGTTCCTTGGCACGGGAAGCTGGCCCAACTGCGGTGGCTAGTGCAGTGGATGGAGCGATCATGATCTGGCTAGTGAGAAACCATCCGAGAGGAACATCATACATAATCATATACCTGGACCATCCAATGGATGTCCTGGCTGGACTGCCCTACACTACTTAGGGATCTCCAGCCAGGACACCCATTGGATGGTCCTGGTATGCTATATGCTATATTGTCCTACAAGTCCAAAGACTCAGTAAAACCTGGTCTTTGACCTCAGTAAGTATTGGTTTTGTATGACCATCTCCAGTAAAATGAGGTCTTTGACTTGTAGGGTTGTATAAGGCCCAACTACAGGGATGGCTCTTCAGATTCCCTTCTTTGGTATCATCGTTGAGGTCAGAAGTCTCACCAAGCTCTGACTCGTCGAATTCGCCAGATTCGGTCCCTGTGGGTGAGGAGCAGGGTGGAAGGAGCAGCTCAACGTTGCCATGCGGCCATGCGTGAGCATACGTCTTTTTTCGGGGGTTGGAGGTCCAAAATATGCCCCGTGTTGGTGGTCGATGTTCTATCTACTGGTGCTTCTGGTCGCGGTCCCTGACAAAGCCAGGAAGTCCAGAAGAAATGCTGAAAAACAGCTGTTCCTTGGCTCAGTCTGGAGACCGGAAAGTGGTCGGAACCAATTTCGACATCACGACCTGGCCCCTACAACTCTGAAAAGTCTGACGCACTGCCTGCACAATTTGTGGGTTTCTTGGTTCGGTGTGTTTCTGTCTCTCCTTCATCAAAACCCAGAGTCCACCACCTCCAACCCAACTTCCCACCGTTTGATTTGACCTCCCACCATACTTCTCCTCCTCGAACGCCACGAACCCTGCGCGCCAACCCCCCGCGCGCCACCGGGGCACATGTGGATCTCTGTCTCGTGGATGGATCGGAAGTGATACTCGCCGAAGTCGTCCAGCTCTTCCACCTGCCCGGCGACTCACGCCGCGCAAAGCGCGCGGCGGCCGAACTGGGCCACCGCGGTGCGCGGCAGGCCGAACGGTGCCACCAGGGGCGAAGAAGGTTCGAAGAGGAGGAGGAGGAGGAGGAGAAGGAGGGTTCAGGGGTTCAGGCTTCACCCATCTGATTGGGGAGAAGCGCTTGGGATGTTTGGGATGTTGGTGGAAAGTGCCGACCTGGATGGTTATATAGTTCATTGGAACAAACAGAATTGGTGAACGTTGAAGAGTTTGAATCGTTCACATGCCTAAAGCATCCTAAAGCCCAAACTCGCAGGTGGCCTGGCTCCCTACTCCGCGGTTGAGCTTCTTCCACATCATGGAGAGAAGAGTCAGCTGACTGCTCAAAACTGATAAAGCGGCTCATAGGTGTCACCCAAAAAGTCCTCCGAGACTGAGCTGTGACTTGGTGCTGTAGCTCCCTCTATCTGCCTCCTCAACAGGCAAATGGCTTTCTGGGTTTGAAGGCCGATCACCAAACCGGCCTCAAGTGTGGTTGCTGGTTGCCTACAACCAGTGCCTACAACCAGCAACGGGCAACGGGGATCCTCTCCGGAATTCTGGGGTCACAACTGCACCACCGAACGGTGCGTCGGGTGGATGGATCCTGCCCACAACACGCACGCACGACGAGATGGCCGCAAGTGGCAGAGATCCGTGTGGGCCGCACAGATGTGGCCCCCATCTAGCCCCTGAGGCATGAAGAGTGTTCTTTGCCCTGCGAGTCCAGTCCATTTGTCTTTTTAATTGTCTTTTATGTAACCTGAAAAGGACTCGCGAAACCTGGCTCCAACACGGGCCTCCTCATCCACCAGCGCAGGCACCGGCCGTTCTGGGAAGGCCAACTTGTGCAGCTCCATGGCGTCCTGGCACGACGCGGAGGCGACGTAGGTCTTCGGCCGACTCGGTCTTCGGTGACACTCGAGGTGGTCTCGAGCGACACGAGCCGACCCATGACCCATTCCCAAGGCTCCTGAGACCCAGTCTGCGTCATCGGGGCACCATCATCAGAGACTATTGTCGTCTCTTTTGGGACTTTTTGGCTGGAACGCATGTGCGAAGTGGTTGTGGTCTGTGGCTGAAAAATTGCTATGAGGCCATGAATGGCTAGAACTCAATGGTTGGGATTTGACCGTCCCTGAAATCATCCTGGCACCTGTTTGAAACCATCGGGCCATCATAGGTCATCCTCGGGGGCCATCATACGCCATCCACCAAACCATCCGAGTCTTTCTGCACGCAGTGATCACCTCATCCGTGTCAATGAATTGAGTCTTGATTCACCTATCGATGACATGGGTAGGATGATAGGGGTTCATGGATAGGATGAATCACCATCCATGGATGGTGATTGTCTTCCCATGTCTGTGATTCACCTATTGAAGCATCAACCCTTCGCGTGAATTGGGTGAATCTGATGACTTCAAGAAGTTCAGTGTGGTTCCCAAAGCATCTTGGCTTCTTTTGCCAAGGCTGGTGAATCGCTCCCTTGTGCCATGCTTCCTCACTGTAAATACATTGGGTCTATCCTATTGCCAGAGGCCCAGTGGCTGATGATAGTTGCAGGCCGACATCCATCTCCAATATTGTGATGTTCTTGTTGACCGACTGTGACAGGGTCATGGGACAGTCCGACACCACTCGGTCGCCGACGCCTGGGAAAAGATGTTGAAGCCAGCACCATTGAGCACGAACTTGCCTTCACATCGGGACAGACGTCCCGGTGAGGAGGGACCCAAACACCGCCACAAAACCAGGGAAGAAACAGAAACAAGTCCATCAGCAGTTTCTACCCTACCCTCCAGAACATTCAGATGGACAAAGTGAAGAGCCTCTGACTTAGACCAACTTTCTCTAGGAACCAGTCACGGGCCCACGGGTGATCCCTGAAAAATGGTCCGCTGCCAATTGCGATGAAGAAACATTCCCAAGGAATGAAGGCAACGAAAAATCTTTCTAAGTAATGTAGACTCTTGACTATAAACCCTTCCATTTGAATTGGAAGTCCTCTTCAGTCTTACATTAAGTACAAGATGCGATGAAAACATGTCACTTGTACAGATCAGGTACTTGGATCCTCTAGACTCTACATCCAGCTCATGGGTGCACCCTCCAAGTGGAGCGCGCAAGCTCCGGACCCCTGGAGCTGAGAACCTCCCGAGAGGAAGGAGGTGGCGGCCAAACAGGTGGTGTCATCCGCCAAGGCATCCACTGTGCTCTACATAGCACCCATCCGAAACAAGCAGTTCAAGCGCTTGTGGAGATGCCATCTTTTTTCGACGATAAAACCTGTAGACAGACGAAGTCATTTGAATGCCCCCCTCCCCCAGACATGAATTGGAAAATCCTCTTCAAGCTTGGGGGGTGAAACATGTTCAATGGCATCTTTGATGGTTGCTTGGATGTCATCTTTGATGTCACGTCCACCCTTAGTCACTTTCATCAGCGCACCGCACTCAACACAAAACGCTCAAAAGCAGAGACCTGCTTCCCTGGTCTCCTCAACCCGTCAAACAGTTCAACTTCGTCCCACTCCAAGATGAACCCTACCCTTGACTCCTCGCAATCCATCTCACCTTCAACCGGAACCCTCAACAGCCTCCTCCTCCAATGCTTTCTTCCTCCTCCCATCGATTTCCATCCCTCCACCGCCGTCGCGACCGTCGGCTCGCTTCGGCTCCCTCTCGCCCCCGAACGGAACGAACCGTGACGGCAGGCTCGACGGAGGCGGAAGGCAGCGGTTCGTCCAGGCGGCAGCCGGTGAAACACCGGGAGATGACCTCCTTGTCCAGTCCAACTGCTTGGAACAGCTGAGCCCCCTGGACGGGACGGTTTTCTTGTCCGATGGTGAGCAAAACAGAGATGGCGGAGCGGGGCGGGGGGTTGGAGCGTTTTTGAGGACAGCGCGAAAAGACGAAGGCCCGGTTTGGGGTTTGGGTGGTGGGTAGGCTGGGAGTTTGGTGGGAGTCAGAGTCTGGACATGCCCCAACTTGAACCCAATCGCTCGAGAACCTCAAAGCACCCAGTAGCCTGTTTGATTTCTTGATTCTGCACCCTCCCTCTCTACCATACCACTACCGGGATCCACAGGAGTTGGGCGGTTAATGGACACCCCGAATCACCTTCTTTTTGAGGGCCTATTCATAGACACCCCGAACCGGGAGCCCTGGGATGAGGTCCCTTTATGTAAAGCTTCTCATATTTTTTTCGGCTTTGCCATCGCTCGTTGCAGCGCGAGGGACCTTTGCGACTCTGGCCAAGCGCGCATGGAAGATCCTTAAAACAGTGCTGAAAGCAGCTTTCCAGCGGCATCCAGAATGGTGAGTGGCTCTTCAGGGAGCAGGCCCAGGCTTTCACTTGTATTTTATATACACAAAGCTGTTGGGCTTGATCCCGTTTTGTTTGAAGGTCTTCTTGAGATCCACCTTCTTTCCACCCTTCAGGGACAACTCAATGTCCCGGCCGTCACGAATCGATTCATGTAGACTGGCATACAGGCCGCTGGCTCTTTGCTCGTCAAAGCCCTCCATCTGATAAACAAGTCCGACCTCCCGGCCGGCCAACAACCCGGTCACATAGGCTTCATCAGCACTGTTTGCGACCGGAGCCTTGGCATTGTCTTCTCCACCTAGAGCTGCATTCTCCTTCTTGAGCTTGGCATTCTCGCGCTTCAGGGACTCCAAGGAGGCCGCAGGACGCTTCTTGGACATGTCAACAGCGTCAGAAACTCACTGCGAGCCAAGCGAGACTTGGCCCTCACGCTAAGCTTTCTTGAGCCAAGCTCGAAACTCCAAGCAAACAAGCACTGCATATCATATACAATATAATATATTATATTATACTATATTATATTATTACTAAATGTTAAATTATAAGCGCTCTCTATTCTATATAAAAGATCAGCTTGGTGCAACCCAAACGACTGAAAGCCATTTGAGGCCAGGGCAACTGGCGACCGGACAAAAGCAGAAGGGGAATTGATTCACTCTACTGCAACCCTTGGAGTTCCCTCGTTCATGTGGATGTGAACCTCTCAATCAGAGGGTTTATTCCCAAAAAAACACCCGGCGCCGGCGCCTCGCCCCAAACCGTGTTCCCCCCGCCCCCACCTTGTAGCTCTGCAAACATGAGATGCCCATCTTCGACATCACTTTCAAGATACCTGCCCACCGGGAGCGCGCGCAACGCGCGCACGAATGGCGCCCAGCCCACGCACCGAACCCCGTTCTGCCGCGCCGCGCCGGGCCCGGCGCTCCCAAGCGACATCGAAGAGGTTGTCCTGGTCGTCTCACCGGAGTTGCACCCTTTCTCAAGTGGGTGTGTACTGTCCCGTGACTGGGCTCCGTTCGGCCCACCTCCGGCAATCGGTTCGAAGGGCCAGGGGTGGGTGAGAGGTCGACTGGGGGGTCGAAGACCACCGGTCCACCGGATCAGAGATGGGACGAGACGAGACAGGAGCCCTAGGGTGTGTACCCTCTCTCCAACCATCAGCGGCTACCTGGATGGGATGGCCCCGAGGTCAGACTCGGGAGACCGGACCTCCCCTTGGGGTCCGAACGGCTCGACCGGATTCGAGCTGTGCCAAGCTGTGCCAAATGCTTCTCCTTTGAGATCAAAAAAGGGAGCAGGGGGCAGCACCATGGAAAAGCCTTGGAGGTAGAATCAGCAACATCGCTTCAACAGCGTTGGCCTCCTGGTATTTGGTGCTCCAGGCTGAGGTGGGCTTCCCACAGAAACCGAGCCATCCTTGCCCTTTCCGGGCGGTAGTGCTCCCTCTTGACAAACAAGAGAATTGGATATAATTTTATGATTTTTATGTTCTTACCTTTTCAATCTCAGAGCAACATACAGAGTGCTTTTGTCAAAAGAACAGAGCAAGACATCCTGTTCACGCATGAGAGATATGTGCCAACGTCAAGGGTGAAAGACTGCTGGACCAATGTGCTGAATCTCCGCCCTATCTCAATTTCCTCGGATTTTTATCATCGGGAATCGGGGCTTGGAAAAACATAATAAATATGTCAATCAATTCAATATCCTTTCGATAGGCTCAACATTGAATCGGACAGCATGCAGTGTTCCCTTTGGACCAGAAAAAAACATAAAAAAGTCCCTGCAAAATCATGGGAGGTCCATATGGGAGGTCCATCCCGAAAAGAATAACCAGCAAATGCTCGCTTCGGTCTCGCGCGCCTGAGTCGGAGCCGCTCCGGAAGTTCTCAATGCGCTTGTTGAGGGGAAGCTGGCAGCCTCTCACCCTCAACAAACTCAAGTAGCCTGGGCTCGCGGAGCTTGGAGGGTGGGTGGAGCGGGTGGTGTCGGGTTGATGGGCCTAGTGAGGGCATGGAGGACGGTCAAGTAGCCTGGAACGTCTTGCGGGGTGGAGGTCGAGTTAGGGGGTTGGAGGGTTGTCCAATGGGTCGGATGTTTGGTTTGCTTCCATTCTGAATCTCGAGACGACGTCACATGAACCAGATACATGGTCAGTTAGAGTCCAGGTAGAGGGGAACTGGCGAACACTGGCGAACTGCCCTCTCGGTTCATGTCTTTTGGACCTATCGAAGGACCTGGACTTACAGGACTCACCGGACTGGACGAAATGGGATGGTGAAATGGGGTGCCCACCCGAATCACCTCTGGACAGGGCGGACTGCGGCTAGACACTCCAGGGCACCGGGAGCCCCCCCCGTTTTTTCCTTCCGCCGCAGTTGATACGTTTCACTTCTCAGCCATTTCGTGGCAGTTGGGGATTCACCAGAGCCCTGGTCGGCTTGTTTATTTCTAAAGGTCGTTGCGGGCCTTGCAATAGCAAAAGATTCCTACAAGAACTCTGACAAGAAGGCTTTTTGCCCAAACCGACCCGAAGCTGTTCCCTGTTCGAAGACTTCCCACTTGGAAACATCGAAATGAAATGGATCTGATCGTTGCACAGATGCACAAAATTCTTATAAAATCCGTTTGACATTTCAAGCTCCGGTGGTCAGCTTTCGGGTCAAAGCTACGCATGGTTCATGTAGCCTTTGCATATCCTTTAGTCTGTTTTGGGGGGTGCAGAAAAAGAATAACAAGAAAAAGGAACCCCCATGGTTTTTTTCACCATTTACCCCTGTGTTTTGGACCTTGTAACAAGGGGTACACTTTCTCCCCCCCAAAAAAAGAACGAACACAAAAAAAGTAAAAACAACCCTCCGAATAAAACTAAAAATTGATCCTTTCAGTCCTTTCCTTTCGGGGGAACTTCGACGCGTCTACGGGTCAAAGCGGCAGAGATATGGGTAGATGGCATCACAGCCGAAGCCCAGAAGGCAGCAGAAGTGATGAATCTCCTTAGGATCGCTTGGAACATGCCACAGTTCTTGGGACGAAAATGGCAGTTGTGGAGTATGGCAACATCACGGTGGCGAAGGATGAAGAAGGCTGGTGGCGCTACATTCACTCACCCTCCGAACAGCTCACGTTACATGACAGCGATGGGATCGCATGGCCCCCGAGGTTCGGATGAGATGTTTTTCAGTTCGAAGACCAGAGCCGGAGTGTATCCTCCTTGGTACGGGGCTGGCCAGTGTCTAGACAGGTTTTTTAAATGGTCCGATAAAAGAGTGCTGAACCCTCAAGCCTCCAGGTCGGGAAGTGCAGCTGAATGGTTCTCATCCTCCAGAATTCTTGGAAATCGCACTTCCCCTGAATTCCCCAAAAACATCTGAGAATTCAACCCATTTCCGCACTTCTTAGCCCTCATCCCCCAATAAAATCATTGACGTTGGAGCCCTCAACCCACCGCCCAAACCGACCGACCGACCGGTCTCCCTCTCAGCTCGACCGAGAGTCATAGGCGTCGGCGGCCTCGACGATGAGCGCCACCTTGGCGCGGAGCTTCTTGGCGATGAGGTCCTTCGATGCGTGTGTCGTGTGGCCTGCTTCGGGGTGCGTCTGCGTCGGGTGAAGGTGTTAGGCTTCGGGGCGTGGTTTCTGTTGGCGCACATGGGCACGACTTCTGATGGCAAGAGTATTAGGAGTTGTCCTGACAAATTTGCAGGCACGTTCTAGCGGTCAGCCGAGGCACTCTTAGTGGATCTTGGAAGATGTGTGACGTGTGTGGCGTGTGTTTTTTGGGGAGCTGGGGGTGCGTGGGAGCTAACGGATCTGTGGAGCCACAGTGGAGGGACAGCTGAGAAAAGAGTTTTCCTGGCGAAGAAAAGAACTTTGAAAGAGGGTGGGAAACAAGATCTCTATCTCTTTCAGTTGATCCTATGATTTTTCTATGTGATAGACTCCAATGCTCTACATCAATTCCCCCGTCTGACGTGACGACCGCTGTGAAAACACACACACTCGCCCTCGCGCTCGCCCCTTCACCCACACAGCGAAGGATGCACAGCGCGCGTAAGGTCCTGATGCAAGGCACCCACGGCAAGCAAGGAGCCTTGGATCGGCGCACGCGCAGACCAAACGCATCGGATCGACTGACGGAGGCCGGTCTTCCAGAAGGTGGCATCGGTCGGTCGCAGGTCGCAGGCATAGGTTTGTATCTTCTGGATCCTAACAGATGGCATAGGATGGATTCTATGACCAGGGCCCAGTGGATGATGGTGAGTAAAATCGTTCAAAAAGCGTGGAATAATTGTTTGCTGACTGTCACAGAAGAGTTCCGACAGACCCAAGACATAGGATGGGATGGGATCCTCGGTGTTCATAGGCGTCGGTGAAGAGCTTCTGCTCTGGACATGTCCAGTCGACTAAAGAAGGCTTTCCTGCCTGGGTGACATGAGTCTGGGAGCTGTCCAAAACTTCAGTGTTTCCTCCGCTGAAGGCATCATTTTGGGACTCCTAGGGTCCAAGGAATGGGTCTGAAATCCTGCCAGGTGAGGAAGCTGCTTGCTGGAAGAAATCGAGTCCCTTCTGCACCCACCTGACATTGTCACACTGGATTCAGTGGAGTACCCTCCAACTTTGAGCTGATGCGCCTACCCACCGACCTTCAACGGCGTCCCCGCCACCCACCTAATGTAGACTCTTGATTCATAAACCCTTCCAGTTGAATTGGAAGTCCTCTTCATATGGGGGGTTTATTCATCAAGAGTCTACAAAAATAACATTTCACTTCCCCCACCTAATCGCCCAAGGCACTCACCGGCACGCGGCTCTGCCCCGCCTTTCGGTGGCTCAGCACCAGCACCGCCGCGCCATCGCCCAGGATCGCCGCTTCGGCCTGGCGATCAGCACCAGTGGTGGGATGTCCATGTCCAGCAGCCTTTTTGGGGTCACTGAAAACAGTGCGCCGCAATGTCACGCACTCCAATTCCCAAATCACTTGCAACTTGAAGCATGGGCCAATTCCACAGTGGGGACTCACTGAAGAAACGCCGTGGCTGGCAGATCGGTGGAATTGGACCAAGAGTTCGATTGAACCGGTGAACAAACCGAACTGAAACCACCTCTTGGAATTGGGGTGGGGGTGGTGGCCAATCCTCTCGAAAAGCTCTAAGTTGATCCACTAACAACTCAGGGTAGTAAGTAAGTGTCTTCATGTTCGGTTGTTCACATCCAGACAAAACCAAAACTCAACAAGAAAAAAGGCAGACCAAACCAAGCTGACCAAGTATCAATTGGTCCATCAGACCCCATGGACATGCTCACCTTGGATGAAAACCGACTCACCAACGAAAAACAGCACGATCCGTGCAGAATCGGGTCGAAAACAACGAAGACAGCACGCTGTGTTGCGGGGCCGAAAAACCCCATCCGCCCACCACGCAAACGCGCGCGCGCGGCGCGCGCGCGCGGGGTGGTGTGTGGCGCGGACTTCCGTCCATTGCGCCTCTTTACAGATCTGGTCCAAACGCTCCTGGCCGCGATCTCCCAAACGCTGGGACGGGTGCGAGCAGATCCCCAAAGGCAGAGTGCGGAGTGCCAAGAGTCGGGCTCCATGTTGGAAGGGAGGAGGGTGGAAGTGGAACGATGTCGACCAGTTGCGAGACCCCAAAAATTATTTTGCCACCGACCATTGGAGAACACAAAGACACAAAGAAGTAGAAAGGGCCTAAAATGCATCTTCTTGTACCTGAGTCTTCTGTGAATGTCCAAGGCGGCGGCAGCGAAAGACTCGAATCCCAACCACCACCCAACCACCGTAGGCCCCAACCCCCCCCCCCCCCGAACCCCTCCCCCCAACGCGCCTTCAACAAGTTGTTCCCGCGGATGGCACGGTCCGCCTGCCGGGCCTTCGACGTGCTCTCGTTCAATCCATACGTCATGTCCTCGGCCGGAGCAGCTCGACCGTCTCGGCCGTGGCCGGGTCGGGTTTGGGTTTGGGTCCGTGAAACGGTTTGGGCCGGGCAGTCGGTGGAGTTGGCAGTCCAGACTTCATCCAAATGGGTTTTTGGAGATTTGGAGATACAAGAGCAAGTGTTTCTGTACATGTGTCCCTACCAGATCTACCAGGGAATCCGATGAATCAGCAGATGTTCCAGTAAGGTCCTCGGAGCAGCGCCAATCTAGAATGGTTGCTGGCCAAACGCCATGTTTCTATCATAGAAATGGATGAGTGGGCACGAGGAAAACAAACTCAATGGATGATGATGATGATGATGATGATGATGATGATGATGATGATGATGA